ATTTAAATAGAATTTTAGGACCCTCACAGAATTTGCTATATTTTCCTAATACAGATGTCTAGTGTGTATGTGAAGATCTGAATGTGTGTGTTGGTGGAGAGAGAGAAAGAGGGGAAGGAGAGAAAAGGTGACTCGCGGTGGAGTCGGCGACCGTGAGAGGAGAGCGGCAGACACTAGAACCGCAGAGACCGCACGTATGGCTGGGAGGCTGAATGCTCATCGTCTGGTTTATTACAGACTGAGCGGCTCTTTCCACCCGCAGTGGCACACACAAGACATTTCTGCAGCTGTTCCAGGGTATGTTATATATGAACAGTTGTATTTTTGGCATGATCAACTGTGTCATGCATTTGGGTTCCTCCTTAATCTATCTTTGGTCAAGTGTGGAGGGAGGCGAATGTGGTTGCAATACACAGCCCAAGGTTCTAGTCAAACTTAAATTCGATGTAGATTCTATCACAGGGCGATACCGGTTGGAAGGCTGAGGTCAACCACCTCAGTGGGCACAGCTACTTGCAAGCAGAGGAGAATGCTAAGAACTCAAGGGAGTCTCATCATGGAACAGAGCAGAGTTTCAATTACTTGTAGTGAGGGAAAGTGGGGTTAGGTGTTAGTGCATGCCGGCGGGTAAGGTTTGGGCATGCATCTGTCTCTGTGGAACTACTACATGTTCCCTTCCCTCCTTTGGGGTTTGGATGGCTCCACCATTTCTGGTGAGGAGGCTACCTCTCCCTTTGGGAGTGAGAATAGTTGAAAGAGTTTGATTTGGTTTGCATGAACCCACTTGTACATTGGTGCTTGACTGGGAGTGTCCTATTGGGTTGGCAAATTGAAAATAGAGCACTTTGTTGCCTACATGGTACTCATGCTGGGACGCTTTCCAGTCATGGTAAGCCTTGGCTGCTTTGATGCTGGCTTCCGGGTTGTTTTGGGCCCATGTGAATGTGACCTGAAGATGTTTGCTCAGATCTGTCACATATTGGTGGGCCTTATAGGCTGTTGCAACACTCACATCTTCTGGGCAGTACAGAAGTTGCAGCGGCAGAGTCATTTCCCTCCCAGTCGTCATCTCAAAGGGGGTCAGTCCCTTGGAGCGGTGACCGGAGGGCCATCAGCACCAGGAGAAGTTTTACATCCCAGTCTTTGCCACTGGTCAGCAAACCAGACATCGTTGGACATATACAGTATATATATATATATATATATGGCTGCACACATTTACACTTCATGGTTTATGTGTGACGTTTGATGTGTCATCATATCGACACATCAGTAAATGTCCACATGGAGGTGCTATCACAACACTTTTTGACTGTGTGAATCATTTGGGCAGTGACCAGCTGCTTGCAAAGTTTCAGCTCTGTAGCCTTAAGTTTCTGAGATATTAAGGATTTCATGCTCTCTTGAATTAATGACTTGTTAATTATTATATTATAATCAAGAGATATTATACTGCAGTTAATTCCGACCAAGTAATTTGTTTGGACGAGAGGCATTCCATGAGTGCTGATATAGATTAAATGGGCAATGGGACTTTAAACTACATGTTGTACAGGTGTTCTATTAACTGTTAATTAGCATTACATTAACAGTTGTTAGCTGTCTTAGAGTGTAACAAACTTTGCAAAGCTCAAAATATTTTCAGAAATAACATTTGAATTAATTGATGTCTGGTCGTCAGAAGACGATGACGAGAGGAAGCCTGGATACTTCAGCGCACATCCCCAAGTACAGTGTGCAGGGCAGGAAAATGTTTATGTGTTGCTTAGCAACAGTCCAGTACCAGGGAACTACTTGCGTTGTTGTAGCCAAATAAATTATAAAATAAACAAACTAATCATAATGTGTTGTTGCTTGTTACTGTTAATTAATATGACGCTCCTAAAACTGTTGTATAAAAACCATATCACTCTCGGTGCTCGGCCTGCCGCCTCACAACATCAAACCTTGAGTGTGATATCGTTTAATCAACACGCTGCTTACAGGCTGATATCATAGGCCTCATCAGGTCTGACATTTTTAAAGTGGAATTATGTTTCCAGCCTGGGGGACATGTGACAGGGGAACCAGTAACTATTCGTTGTGGGTCTAAGTTTCATGTGAGATGGGACACTCAGCCCAGGGTGAACCCTGCTGGTTGTGTTGTTGTGGACAGTGTCACGCGGTGAGGTCAAGTTGGGGTTTTTGTCCTGTCTCCATGTCTTGTCATTTCCTGTTTTATTTTGAAAGGTTAACTCTCCTCTCGTTTCAGGTCACTTGCCCTTCCTCATGTGTCACCTGTCTGAGTGTCTTCCCTGATTCCTGATTGTGTCCATCTGTTTTCCATTTGCCCTAATGTGTCTTATAGTCTGTGTCTCCCTTTGTCTTGTGCCAGAGTGTCTCGTTCCAGTTGTGCACCCCAGCCAAGTTATCACAGTTCTTGCCTTGCCTTGTCTCTGCTTTCTCGTACTTATTCTTTACCTCCAAGTGAGTGATTTTCTGTTTGTATTTTCATAGTCTAGAGTTTTCTGTTTGTCAAGCTTGTAGCAGTTTTTGTAGCCTCCTTTTGGAGTGATTTTCTGTTTGTGTTTTCATAGTCTAGAGTTTTCTGTTTGTCAAGTTTGTAGCAACTTTTGTAGCCTCCTTGTAGAGTGATTTTCTGTTGGTTTATTCCTTTTTGTTTTAGCAGTTTTGTCCCTCCATTTGGAGTGGTTTTTGTTTATTAGATTTTTCTTCATAGCATAATTTTCATAGCTGTTTTTATTTGTCACTCTCTCTTGAGGTTGGAATAGTTAAATAAAGTCTGCCTAATTGTTACTCTGGATCTGAGTCCTCTTTCAAGTCCAGACCTGACAGACAGACTCTGTAAATGTTTCTGTACGGACTATTGTTGGTTGACAGACTGAAGGTCTGCTTCATTGAACCAGGTGGAGAGTTAGTGGAATGAATTGGTCATTGTCAAATTTATAGTTAAGTCAGAGTCAATGTCAAAGTCGCTCAAATCCATTTCTCCTGCTTCCAACACATCACCCTCAAGAACTGATTGTTCACTTGCTGCCTAATATTTCCCTCCCCCTTAAGGGGTTTTAACATCACAAATGTTCAGTGTATTCTGTTCAGTATTTCTTCGAATCTTTTAATAATACAACAGCTGTACCACACTGGTCAATATAAGTTGACTTTAAAGCCAAGATACCAGATTATCTTAGACTCAGAGTGTTGTCAGACCATCCAGTTTTCCATGAACCAAAAAGCAAGTGATGTAGGACCTGGGACCCACTTGCATGGATCTATAATACATATGTTATAATAGATCTATGCATACTTGTTGTTCAATGCTTTTAACTTAAAAAGTCAAGTGTTGAACAACAAGTGCATCCCAGCCAGGCTCATCACTTTTTGTGTCCCCTGGAAACACGTCTGTTGTGTAGTGAGTATTTGCAGCATGTGTTGTCAAACTGATGAAGATATTTTCTGAGTTTGTTTGTGATTTGTATGCATGTGTTTTTTGCAATGTGTTTTTTGCAGTGTAGTTTTTTATTTGTTAAAGTCTTGTTCCTGTTTGTCCGTTAAAGGATGTCATCTGGAAAATGTTGCATTTTTTATTTGGTTATCATAAAATTTAATAATGGCTATCAGGATACTGCATACTGATAAAACAGGAGATTAAAATAAATTTGTTTCCTGGAAGTGTGAAGCCATGAAGGGAGGCCAAGTTTTCTGGATGGGGGCAGGAAGAAACACATTTTTAAAAATTTAAATCATAATAGAGTAAATAGTAACTGGGTAGGATTGTATCTTAGTCTAAGTCTAGAGTCACATCCAGTGTTTCCCCTACACGCACTGAACAGCAGCCTATCAATACTGATTTGGAAAATGTATTAGTTATTTCAGACTCTGGTAGTAGACGCTTAACAGTAATGGGGAAACAATCAAGTTACTAATGTCTGTGTCCCTAGTCTTCATTTTTTCTCACCACTTTGCCTGAATCAATCTAAGCCTAAACCTGATCAACAACAGGCTCAGATCCAGGTCGTCAAACATGGATATACAATAATCCATCCACAGAGATTTTGTTCCCAAACATCAGCAGCTTATTTCTCACTGATTCATCAGTTTGATTCTTTTCTTGCCTTGGACCCTTCAACTGTCACATGGATATAAATATTCATCCAGACTGTGTTATTCCATATATTAATCATGGAGCTCAACATCACACACATGCCTTTAAATCCTTCCCCTTTGCAAATTCAAACCACTTCAGATATCCTGGGGTCAATATTACTAAATTATTCAAACAAAGCTTTCTGGAAATATGTAGTCAAACAGAACTGAATTTTGATAGATGAAGAAAACTTCCTCTGTCTCTGGCTGAATTAATATCATGGAGATGAATATTTTTCCCAATTCAATTTCAGTGTATTCCTATTTTCATGAATGAGGTATTTTTAAACCTAAATATTTTAGACCAGAATTCATGGACATGAACATTTGGCTGATTGGTCAATGATGGAAAATCTAAGTTGCTCCCCTTCCTCGTTGTATTTCCATTCCCCATTTAAATTCAGCAGACCTGATGATACCAGATCCACTCAGAATGTGATCCCAGGTCATGTCACATCATGTGTTCAGTCTATAACTCTTTGATCCCACAGTTGGCATTTGAAAGACATACTCATTCATATTTACTAATGAAAAAAAATACAGAAAACTTTTTCTCTGACTCATGTTTCTTCAGGTGTCTGTAAAACCACGCTTACTCTTCATCTAGATCCTCCACCTACAGAGAATTTGAAACATTTCACTGAACTTTGTTGAACATTATGATGCTCACCTAAACAGTTAGTGAAGCTTTGAATGGTTACGGTCAGTGAAACAGCTGAATCTCCACTAATAACCTGTTGAAATGTTACAAACACGCTGAACTCATTAAATAAACAGCTCTCTGGTCAAAGCAGGATCTTTTCAAATGCATCATTTATTGCAGCTTAACAAAAGTGACATTATTTAAAATTAAAAGTTTACATTTTACCAAAGATCAGACTTTTACACAAACTACGTATTTTGGACAGTTTCAGTCCATATATTACAGGGTTAAAGAGTGGCTGACAAGTGAGAAAGTATAATGACAAAAAGATGCGCAGTATGTTGGGCACACTGTTCATATTAAACCTGCTCTGCAGTACTTCAAAGAAACCACCAGAGCAGAAGTTGAGCAGAGAAGCAAGGTGAGGTGTGCAGGTTTTGACAGCTTTCCGTCTGGTCTGTTTACAACCAGAAAAACACACTTTAAGAATCTTCAGGTAAGTGTAAAGGATTAAAGTTACAACACAAACTATTATGGCAACTGTGTAAGTAAGCCCATGGATGTTGTTGACTGTTGTGTCAGAGCAAGACAGTTTGACAACAGAGTGGTTGTCACAATAAACTTTGTGGATGATATTTCCACACAGCTGTAATGGAGCACTCAGAGAAACCATGACAGCAACTTCAATAAAAGGAAATAACCATGTCACAGCAATAAGCATGGCAACTTTTTTAGATGTCATGCGTGTATTATACTGTAGAGGATAACAGATAGCCAGGTATCTGTCATAAGACATAACGGCTAAGTTACAAAATTGAACATTTATATAAGAGTACAAACAATAAATCTGCAGGAAACAAAAAGGCACAGAAACAGTGTGAATGTCAGAGAGGATCTGAACCAGCAGGAATGGAAACAACCCTGTACTACCATATAGTTCATTTACAAACAGGCTGCACAGGAACAGGTACATGGGTTCATGTAAGCTTCTGTTCAGACAGATAACTACAATCAGCAGAACATTGGCACAGACTATGAAAATATATAAAGACATAACAATAGTAAAATATAAATATTTTAACAGTCCAGTGTCACGGTATGCAGCAAGGGTGAAAAATGAAACATGTGTAGAGTTGATCATGATCCTCTTTCAGTTCACATCAGTTAAACTCAGGATGGAACAGTTCAAATCATTACTTACACTCTGCTGCACGAGTCATAAAGTGTCAACAGCACATCAACAAACAAACAGGATCCACTCTGTCTTAAGCTAAGAAATGAAATCTCACAGAAACAGGACTGAACTTATCCTTCTGTCACAGTCTGTCCCTCCCAGCACAACTGAAACTCAGCCTCAGCTGCTTTTAACTGTTGAACTGTAGCAGCATCATCATCATCATCATCCTCATCATCCTCAGAGGACACACTGACTGATACTGCTGTCAGATTTGAGGATGTCAGCTCATTACTACACATTAGTGAAAAGATGAAACAGTTTTAGACTCTTTCTCTTTCTTGGTGTCACACACAGAACCATGGACGATGGACCATGCTTCTGTGATTTAAATATTCATGTATCATTGATGCAATACAAATTATCTTTGAAAAGATATAAAAGGCTAATTACAACTAGACAGGAGCTACAGCAGGTTGAGAAATACAGGAACAGATTTATCACAATTATGTAGTTTTTGTTTCATTAACCTAGAAAAAATATTTGACTTGTGGTTAGTCTCTAAGCTAATCAAACAGAAAATGATCAGCCATCATATTAATGTCTCATTGATACCTGTGTAACTGTTCAGGTAGAGCTACACTGAGGCACTTTGCTGCACCTGCCTAGAGTGACTTATTTTTCTCTGGCCTATGTATGGTGTGTAAAAGACGTGAATAAAAACATGCCACAAAACAAGAGGTAAGGTCCACATTTCATCACATTCTGATGTGGAGTGTCTGATTTATTGTCAAAAGAGGGGGCGCCCCAGTGGCTCACCTGGTAGAGCACATATCATGAAGGCTTAGTCCTTACTGCAGCACCCCAGATTCAAGTCCATCCTGGGGCCCCATAGCTGCATCTCATCCCCCCTCTCTCCCTGACTTTCCAGTCTTTCTCTCATTAGAATGGCCCACCGAACCCCTTCTGTCCCAATAAGCGCACAATCCTATGGGCCAGTCAATCAAGGCACATACCAATTGATTTTCAAACCACCTGACACTGCTATGGACTATAATAGAAGGCTCCAGGACCACCTGGAGACTGCTCATGAGTTTACCAGAGTGTAACACTTATAAGAGGTTAAAGAAAGTGATGTAGAAATATGGATGATATGGAATGGGCTAGTGTAGGTTCGTCTATGGAGCTGTAGTTGAAAATTAATAAAACACAGGAGACTGAATGGATTAAGTTAAACCGGTTGTATTAAATATTTCAACAAAAAACACTTGAATAATATCAAGAATAACAACAAACAAAAAAAACAACACTAAAATTAAGTATTCAGTTATTCACAGAATAGTCAGTTTTTCCCAGGAAAGTTCAAATGTCCATGTTCATATGTCCATACATCAAAATCATCAATAAACCACTCAAAAATAATCATCAATAATCATCATCAAATCCAAAATGTGTGTTCACAGAGCTTCACAGAGCAGAGTTCAATCAGCAGTGCATGTAGTGAGTGAAGGCAATCAATGCAGGTGAGGCAAATCACACAGAGGAAAAGGCGGGACAAACTCAAGGAAAAGGGACTTCTGATTGGCCCACATGACAGAACAAGATGTCAATCAGAGTTTCACACTACCTGGGTTACAAGAGGCCAACTGCGAAGTGCAGGAACAAGACGGAAGCAGAACTATGATATGTGCCAGAGCATGACATTTTGAAGTCAGAGAGCTAATCTGGGTATATAACCCCCACAGGAAGAAGGGCAAGTGTCCAAAGCTCTGCAATGGGTGGGTGGGATCCTACAGCAACACTTTCAAGAGCTCCTGAACCTAGTTAACATATCCTCCATGGTGGGGGAAGTCTCACCCATAGCCCTGTGCAGAGGTTGGTACAGTAATCAAAAAGCTCCTTTGTGGCAAGATGCCTGGTGTGGTCATTGTTGGGCTATAATGGCAGTACCTGTGGAGTAACAGACTGGGGTGGTGGTTCCCATTTTTGAAAAACGGGAATGGAGGGTGTGCCCCAAGTGAGCTGAGCAGAAGGCAAAGCACTCAATTTAACAGTTAATCTTTGTTCCAACCCTCACCTATGCTCATGAGCTCTGGGCAGTGACCGGGAGAATGAGATTGTAGATACAAGAGGCTGAAATGGGTTTCCTCTGTAGAGTGTCTGGGCTCAGCCTAAGAGATAGTGTGAGGACATCTGGAGACAGCTCGGAGGACAGTCGCTGCTCCTTTGCATTGAAAGAAGCCAGTTGAGGTGGTTTGGGCATCTGATTAGGATGCTTTCTAGGCGCTTTCCATTGGAAGATCTCCGGGTACGTCCAGGACCCCAGGTAGACCCAGAACACGCAGGAGGGAGTACATATCCCATCTGGCTGGAGGAGCTGGAAAGCGTTGCTGCAGAGAGGGATGTCTGGAATACCCTGCTAAGCCTGTTGCCACCGTTACCAATCCCCGGATAAGCAGAAGAAAATGGATGGATAGATGGATGGATGGATGGATGGATGGATGGTTTATGAATTATCAAACTAGGTTTTGCTTTCACTGTCAAACTGATCAACAATGTTTGCTTTGTTGACTAGGGGCCATGGATCTAAAAACCAACCATACACAGTGGCTGGCCTGACCTACCACCTGAGCTATGGAGTCACTTTAAAGTTCCCATATAGTATAAAGGTAGATGTCCATGTGTTGATTGATTATAAAGCAGGTCTAGGTTTTATATTAATTCTGGACTTCTGGAACTTTGTGATACCACAACAAAGCAGTCACTGCTCTCAGCCACGCCTGAAGTCCCACCCACCTGGACCCACCTTCCAACCTTGGAGGATTTGGTTTCTGTGAGTATTTAGCTGAAATCCACTATATTTTTATTGGATCACTCAGAAAACAGTCAGCCAATCAGAAGAGAGGCTCAAAGGCTCCTCTCCTCTGATTGGCTCACCAACCTGTTGTCACTAGAGCTCCAGAGAGAAGCCTGGGAGAGGAGATGTAAAACTACACTGACATGGTTTTTGGTTCTTATAACCACAAATATATCTGCTTATGGATCAACACTTCAAATAAAACACAGGAGAAAATAGAGAAGCCTGGGAGAGGAGATGTAAAACTACACTGACATGGTTTTTGGTTCTTATAACCACAAATATATCTGCTTATGGATCAACACTTCAAATAAAACACAGGAGAAAATGGACTGTTAAAAGATGCAATGATCTATTATGAGAAATTATACATGTGGTGTTTTTTATGCAGGGATCAACACTGCACTACATCCAGTTTGTATTTCAGAGTTTAAGGGTATGTCTATTGTAGAGGATTTTATATTAATCTGTTGTTTGCTTTTAATAAAACAATGTGTGCATTGTTGATGTAATCATAATATGCTTATAACTAAGTGACTTTTTCATAAAATTTGCTGTGCAACATTACAGAAGAACAGACTGAACTTATGATAGTGTTTGAAGGCCACCCGGGAAAAAACAACTCCTTATATGGTAGACATCCCGGAACAGAAGTAAGACAAAAAACGAGGAATAGAGTAGGGTATTGTCTCTCTTTGTGTGAATCTCTCACAGATCCACCACCACGAGGGCTGTCCCGCGTAGGAGGGTCAGATAACACGAGGTGAAACAAAACAGAGAACACATGGAGGAGCAAAACAAGAAGACAGCGGCATGGACCGATAAGAGAATCAACCCACATTGTATTATTTTTTTCTGTGTAAGAATATGAAAAGACTGGGTCAGGAAGAGGTAGGCAGTCAGACTTCATGAACTGGCACAACTGCATGTTGTTGTCAGGGAGAGATAGTTTGGCCCAGAGCTCTGTAACGATCTCCTTTTTCTAATGCTATATTGCTGTTAGCTTTAATAAATACTGAGATTTGAAGTTTGAATGAGTGTCCTGTTTCCTTCATCAAACCAACACGCGAGTTCAGGTGACGAACTCAACACTATAATATTTTTAGTAAGGAAAACTTGATTAATATTATGACATTTACAATGTAAATCATCAAAAATCACGTACCAGGGTCGAAATACAGAATGAGTAAATGAACAGCTCTTATTATGACAATGTGATCATCTATATTAGTGTTATATATCCCTGCAATTCACAGGCAGCATCAACATTCAGAATGGGTTGAAAACATGACTTGATCAGTGGAAAGAAAATTTAATTTCCGCCTGAAACAAAAAACACAAGAAACACTTTTTGAGATACTTCTTTAAATTCTCTCAAAACCTGATAGCAATGAACAAATTGAATGCTCTGACCCACTGTAGGCACACAGTTATCCTTGAAGACTCTTCAGCCTCACATCAGAAGTACAGGTCTGTAGCGTCTGAAGTGCATCTACTTTTGATAAACCTAACAGTCATTTATCAGTCTTGGAATGCTGAGCAGGTAAATGAAGCTGTGGTTACTTAGAACTTGTGAGAGTGTGAAGGCTAAGGTTTCTGTCAACATTAACATCTTTGATTTTCTCTTTACTGTACCTCCAGACTCTACCTGGCTGCCATGTACTACAATGAAAATGCTGACCGACCACAAGCCCAAACAAAAGAAGGTGAACCACTGTTCAAGGTCCAATTTCCAAAGGCCATGAAGGGAGAATGCAGAGCTACACCAGTTAAGACTGAGCCGACATTCTATAAGTGTTATATTATTTTATTTTTCAACCAAAAAATGTTTTGTACACATTGTATCAAGTATTGCACATATAATATTATGACCACCAACAACAAAATACAGAAAAGAAATTGTCAGGAGGTAGTTAGAAACAGACTTTCAGTCATTGTTTTGTAAAAAAACAACAAAAAAGTGAAAAATGTAAACAAAATCTTTTGTGTTTTATCAAACAGGGTATGTTTTGGACCTCATGTTTGAAAAAGTCTTTGTTGACCTGGGACCATACACAGAAGCTGCTTTGGCCATCCCCATCCCAGAGGACCTCACTGCACAGTTCGAGTGGCCTGAGAAGGAGTAGGTCACATCCAGCTATGTGTCCCGGTTCTATCATGGGCCAGTCTGAAACCCACGTACTGGGGCCTGTGGCATCAGGAAACACGGCACTGATGCGTAGGACCAGGCAGGCTGGAATGACGACCCAGATTCTGCAACCATGGAAGCCCCAGCACCAGCTCACAAAGCTCCTATAGGCGAGATACCTGTACCGACTAAAACAACTGGACAGGGCATTTAGTCTTGCAAACATATCTATGAT